AAGAGACAGGTACCTCTTCCGGCACTCGCTGTATGACCCCTGTAGACCCTATGTTGACCCCTGTAAACCCTATGTTGACCCCTGTAGACCCTATGTTGACCCCTGTAAACCCTATGTTGACCCCTGTAGACCCTATGTTGACCCCTGTAGACCCTATGTTGACCCCTGTAGACCCTATGTTGACCCCTGTAGACCCTATGAAGACCCCCTGTAAACCCTATGTAGACCCCTGTAGACCCCTCCAGACACTCCCTGTGAAACGCCTTGTATTATTGTATAGCTTCTTCTAATATTGCATGTCTTCATATAAATATATAAATATTCATATTATAAATAAATATATCTATAATGTTTAACCACTAACCCTTATCATTCATTTGTAATCTTTGTAATAATAAACTAAGCTGCGTACGGTTGATGATTCATATTTCACTTTCACTGTGAATAACTAAATTCTTGAGGAATATATATAATAAATATAGAGAATATATATATCTATAATATATAAATATTATAAATATCTAATAAATATAGAGTAGAAAATTCCCCAGGTCTTCCCATTACAATGGCGCTATAAACCCCATTTTATTATATATTATATTAGTTAATGGGGATGTAGATGCGTGTTATTTTATTATATATAATATAAAATAACAATAATTATATTATATATAATTATTATATATAATATACGGTATTATATATAATAATATAATAATATTATATATAATAATCCCCATTTTATTATATATTATATTAGTTCGTGGGGATGTAGATGCGTGCTATTAAATTAAAAAATTTTCTATATGAAATACTTTGATTTTCTGTGGCGAATTAAAGCTTAGTTTAGTTAACATTAGTTAAAATGCTTCTCTATACGTTAATAACATTCTTAAGAACATTTTAGTTACTATCAGTTAAATGCTTTTTTTCTCTTCTGTAAACAATGTGGTAGTGACGAGGACATCATCAGTGATGGTGACGTGGTGATGAGACTTGTCTCTCATCGCCACGGCAATGCCATATGGCTTTTCTATTAGCCAATGTCAATATTTTGGCCGTGCAATAAAAGCTTTTAGTCACTTTGTTAATTTCTCGCTTTTTCTAGAGCGGAAGAACTTGACAAAACTCTAGATTTTTAGAAGTTTCCTTTATGTTTTCTTATATATTTTTGATATCGTGAATTTATAACTGCGTGAGTTCTTTTCTGGCATAGCGTTGCCGTTTTCTGGCATCGCGTTGCCGTTTTGTGGCATCGCGTTGCCGTTTTGTGGCATCGTGTGCCTTTTTTTGTCATCGACTTTTTTCCCCCTCTCCAAAATTTTTTTTTAAATTTACTTTAAAATTTTTTTTTCGCTCGATCTTAAGCTCATACCGAACGCACCTTGTATGGGACTGTTATAACCTGTGTATAATTGGCTATACAAAATATACATTATTCAAACATATGAATAACCTCTGTATAAATAATTGGCTGTAAAAAATAGATTGTTCTAACATTTAATTAACCTCTGTATAATTGGCTATATAATCTACACAACCTCCGTATAATTGGCTATATAATCTACACAACCTCCGTATAATTGGCTATATAATCTATATATTCTTCTAACATTTTAAATTCATTTTTGTATAATATTTAAATCTATGACTGTAACTAACATTGTACTGTATAACATGTAACTCTGTATAATTGAACTGTATCATCTGTAAACTGTTTATCATTGAATCCTTCAAGCTATTGTAGAAGTGTTTAATAATTATTATTATTGAATAATACTTAATAATTGAATATTGCTTATAGCTTGGTACTCCTATTTTAATTATTTTTATTTTTTATTTTATTTAATATTTTCGTTAAAATATTAAAATTAATCGAGATCCCGTACGGTATATCTATTTATTTAATTTTTTTTCAATTTTAAAAATTAATAGATATTTTAAAGGATCGATGATCCTTTATACTACAAAGGATCGAATATTTTTTTACTCCCGACACTGTAAAAAAATGTGGGAGTTTTTGTCTAAATAGTGGTGAACTTTCTGCCTTTATGTGAGTCATCCTGACTCATTTTGGCCCAGTAACATGGCGTATCTGTGCTACGTGCTGTGGGTAAGTGTGTTACAATTTGGACAATTTGAGCCATTTTTTTCTCTAAGGGCACGCATTAATTTTTTATTAATAAACGGATTAAAATTTCTCTAACTGCATGAATTTTTTTCCTATTAAACATTTCCTTCAATTAAAAATTTATTTT